TTTTTGGTTGTAGTTGTCATTGGTGTTTGGCAGGCCCAGGCTGGATTCGAACCCACCAGCTCTGGTGTATGTGGCTGGCACCTTAGCCGCTTAAGCTACAGGTGCCTAGCCGCAAATTGAAATTTTAAAAATCCACAGTGAGCTCCCAAAAGCTAACGCTCTAGCCATCTGGCAATGCTGTGATGGCATATAGGATTTGTTTAGGGTACCAAATAAGACACAGGAGCTGACAGTCTCACAATGCTGGAAGAAATCAAAAAGCCCAATCCAAACTGGCTTCTAACTTCACATTCCTGGGCACCTTGGGGAGAACTGCTGCCCAAATATTCTAAATCAGCTTTCTATCCACTCTGCCACGAATAATCACCTTTTTGTATTCTAGAAGAATTCTGCAAACAATGAGCTAAGGCAGAGGTTAACTCCTGAGGGTGGATAACAGAGGGGCAAGGTGGTCACTCAGAAAAATGCCGCCCTTCTCTTAAGAGTTTCCTGCCACTATGCTGGCACCCATCAAAGTGATTCTCGCTCCTCAAGCAAAAGCTAGGAGGCAGCCAAAGAGACACCCTACCCAAGTCTCTGCTCTGAAGAGTAGCTCTGATGGGGCACTATGGACCTAAGCACACTTAGTCTTCAGGAGAACATTCCCTGGTTATGAGCTGTCCACCCCAGGCCAGTTCTGGCTTCCTTTTCTCTACTTGCATATTTGATAAAGCCGCAAATCCTTTTTGGTTTGGTAGGGGAAATTTCAATCGCTCATCTCCAACTTTATTTTATTCTGACTTCATTCCCCAACAATGTAGATCACACTTCTGTACACGCAAATCCAGACAGCTAAGTAACCAGAATTCTTCCCTAGCTCCTAAGTGGGACTTTCCCTGAAGCCCACTTCCCTGGTTAAAAGGGAAGTACTTATTGTAATGGAAGTCATATGAAACAGTCCTAAAATATTAGCAGCCATACATAATGACATAAAATAGCAGATAAATCGAGGAAAAGTATTTTGTGGTTCAAGAAATACTAACCAGCAGTTTTCCTACCAAATTTCTTGATAAATCACCATCTACTCAGAAGAGGTAAAAGAAAAGGGAAAGAGGGAGAGAAGACTGAAGTGCTAAGGGGCCTCTGACATGGCAGATCCAAACAGAGCTGGGCATCATCATCTTGGAATGCCTCTTTCACTTAAAGTGAGGTTAAATCAATAGAGATGCAACATGAAATCCTTTCGCGTCTGTTAAGACAATGAAGTCAGTGGATTTTTGTTGCTGTTGTTTATATTCAAACATTCTAACAGACTTCCAAGTCTGTGCTGCAACCCCAGTATTCCCTTCATGTGTCCCCCATTACACCAAAAAGATATGAGGGGGCCTTAAAAAGAACAAAGAGACCACAAAATGGCAATTATGCAAATATATGGCTTTTCACAGCAATTCAAAGATATTTTTCCTGGGGCATTTAGTGTCTACTAAGAGGAGAAAGAGTCATTTTAAGTTTTCTTCCATTCTGACAATTCTTTTATTTTAAAGACTTTTTTCTCTTAGCATCTAACATGTTGTCAATTTTTAAAGATACCATCTTAAGTAATTTAAGAAAGGCCAGGAGCAATGGTTCATGCCTGTAATCCCAATATAGTTGGGATGTTAAGGGAGGAGGATCACTAGAGGCCAGGAGTTTCAAGTCCAGCCTGGGTAACATAGCCAGACCTTGTCTCTACAAAAAAATAAGAGAAGTTAACTAGGAGGATTGACTGAGCCCAGGAGCTTGAGGCTGCAGTGAGCTATGATGATACCACAGCACTCTACCCTAGCCAAGAGAGACCCTATACGAAAGAAAGAAAGAAAAGAAAGATGATGATGGGGGGGGAGGAATAAAAGACTATCCATTAAACCAGTGATTTGCAACCTTCCTGACGTGGCCCTCTAATACAGTTCCTGTGGGTCGTGACCCATAGATTGAGAACCGCTGCATTGAACTATGACAAAAACCTTCTTATCATATTCACTGTAAGCACTCTGATTTTAAGAAAATTGAAAGCAAAAGAAAATCTTAAGAAATACAGTAGAACTTCTTTAAGTTGATCAACAAAGGGACTGTAACAAACAGGACCTACTGCACTGATATGTAGGTGTGGTGCATGTCTGGTCTATGAAAATTAGGTCAACTTGGCTTGGTGCCTGTAGCTCAGTGAGTAGGGCGTCGGCCAAATACACCAAAGTTAGTGGGTTCGAGGCCAGCCTGGGCCTGCTAAACAATAATGACAACTACAACCAAAAATTAGCTGGACATTGTGGTGGGTGCCTGTAATCCCAGCTACATGGGAGGCTGAGGCAAGAGAATCGCTTAAGCTTAAGAGTGAGACGGTCTCAAAAAAAAAAAAAAGAAAGAAAAATTAGGTCAACTTAAGGTGATCAGTGTAGGGAGGTGGTCAACTATGGAAGTTTACTGTAATTAAATATGGTATTATTAAAACAATTCCATTTAGCACTGGCCTTCTAAAAATTTAACTTATTACTTTATTTCACATATTTGTTATTTTCTAGCCTGCAAGTCATTATCTTACCCACCATTGGAGCTGGGACATGTTTTCTCCCTACTTGTGCATATTAGCAGCTGTAATTCTATTATGTTTTACCTCCCTACTTGTGCATATTAGCAGCTGGAATTCTATCTTGACTATAGTTGACTATACTTTCAGGAGAAACCTTTTTTTTTTTTTGGAGACAGAGTCTTACTCTGTTGCCCCGGATAGAGTGCCATGGCATCGTATCTCATAGCAATCTCAAACTCTTGGGTTCAAGTGAACTGTTGCCTCAGCCTCCCAACTAGCTGGGACTACAGGTATCCACCACAATACCCAGCAAGTTTTTCTTTCCTTTTTTTTTTTTTTTTTTGTAGAGACTGAGTCTCACTTTATCACCCTCAGTAGAGTGTGGTGGCATCACAGCTTACAGCAACCTCCAACTCCTGGGTTTAGGCGATTCTCCTGCCTCAGCCTCCCAAGTAGCTGGGACTATAGGTGCCCGCCACAATGCCTGGCTACCAGCAAGTTTTTCTATTTGTAGAGATGGGGGTCTCACTTGCTCAGGCTGGTCTTGAACTCCTGAGCTCAGGCAATCCACCTGCCTCAGCCTCCCAGAGTGCTAGGATTATAGGCAGAAGAAACCTTTTAAATTGCTTTTTTTTTTTTTGAGACAGAAGTCTCACTTTGTCATCTTGGGCAGAATACAGTGTCATGTAGCTCACAGCAACCTCAAATTCTTAGGCTCAAGTGATCTTCTTTCCTTAGCCTCCTGAGTAACTGGGACTACAGGTGCCCACCACAATGCTTGGCTAATTTTCCTATTTTTAGTAGACACAGGGTCTTGCTCTTATTCAGGCTGGTCTCAAACTCCTGAGCTCAAGTGATCCTCCTACCTCAGCCTCCCGGAGTGCTAGGATTACAGGCATGAGCCACCGCGCCCAGCCTTAAATTGCAATTTTTTAAATGTGGTATTACCATCTGAAAACTGAATTTAGGATAAAGAAATCAAACTAGTAAAAAAAATAGTATGGGTGGTCTCAGCCATGTGTACAGGAACTCTGTGTATGTATTTTATCCGTAGCTCACACTGGCATCCTAGAGTACACAAACCCCTGGCCACCTGCTCCTGTCCCTCACAGTGTCAATTCTCTTCTAGCCCACGTGAGGGATGCAGATTGGAAAATGCTTATTTCCTTTCTGGGAAGGGGGGATTCTGAAGTAGCCACTACAGTTAACACGTTCTGTTCCAATTTTGGAAATACTCTTATTTCTCAGGGATGGCAGTGGTGGGATAGTTTGACGCTTGGGAATAGGCTCCCATCTCCAGCATGAGCAGACACTAGCCTTTCACTCAGAATATATCTACCCAATTCCCTTTGCTACAGAGACAGACATGGACTAGGTACTCTTAATTGAAATTCAAATATTCCTGAAATCAGTATTTTAGGCTGGGCATAGTGGTTCACACCTGTAATCCTAGCACTTGAGAGGTCAAGTTAGGAAGATCACTTGAGCTTAGAAGTTTGAGACTGGCCTGAGCAAGAGTGAGATCCTGTCTCTACTAAGAATAGAAAAATTAGCAGGGTATTGTGGAGGGCACCTGTAGTCCCAGGTACTTAAGAGGAGGCAGGAGGATCACTTGAACTCAGGAGTTTGAGACTGCTGTCAGATAGCCTTACGCTATAGCACTCTACCCTGGGCAACAGAATGAGACTTGGTCTCCAAATCAGTAAATCAATACAGTCAATGCTTTAGTTGCCCCAGCCTTTGCTATCTCAGTGCCTCTGCAAATCAGAACATGTGAACTGTTCTAGTGACAGTACAACCTGGAACTGTCTTTTACATAGACCTGAAATCAGCTCCCATTTACTTTCATCACTGAAGCTCTGAATTTATAACACTGTTTCCTCACAACTGACAAATACCACCAGCAAACAGGAGACATACCTCTCATATAACCAATACTGGGGCCTGTGGAACTGCCCCTTAGTCATAAGACATTGCTAGGTGGCTTAACAATGGCCACATCTGAGCAAAAGAAGGAAATCTGTGGCACATTTACCATCAGGAAATGTTAGCATTAAAAGAGATCTGAGATCTGTTGTTCCATGAAGCCTCATTTTCCAGAGGAGAAAACAGAGGCACAACAAGGGTAAATGGCCTACCCAGAGGTTCACCAGGAAATACGTGACCTGGGGAGGGCAGTGGCTTGGGACTCAGTGCTGGCCAAGGCAAAGTTGGGAGTAAATGGGAAAAGGGCATCCCCTTGGGAAGAGGGGTCTCATGTCTGAGAGGTATGTCACAGTATAGAGAAGATAGATAAAGCCCTACCCTGAGTGTGAGAGACAGAGGGGGAGCGTCCGATCAGCGGCCGCTGCTGTTCACCAGGCCATGAAACTCCTCCCAGGCCCTGGCAAACCGGAGACAAAAAACAATAGCACATTCAGATCAAAAGCTTTTGAACAGAGAGCAGACATGATACTCCCACATCCCACTTCAGACTCCCTTTAGGTTAAGTAGAGCCATAGGTACCTGGGAACAGAGCAGTGAGGTCCCTCTCAGACCAGCAGCACCGCCTACCCATTCAGGACACCACAAGCCTCTTCCTCACTCTGCTTGGGAAGTCTGCTCTTGCTCCCTCAGGGATTTGCAACTAACCACTTCTTCAACAAGGCTATAGGAGAGGCAAGTGAGGCTAGAGCTGAAGCTCAAACAGCACACTTCCAATTTACAGTAGCACTTCCTGCCTAGGGTGTGTGAGAACAGGTGGCAGAAATAATCTTTCTGCACCAGGCTTCCCCCTTGGGGTAAAGGCAAGTACTCATCAGCATAGTGATGCTTTAAGATGCAATGAGGAGGCTCGGCGCCTATAGCTCAACTGGCTAAGGTGCCAGCCACGTACACCTAAGGTGGTGGGTTCGAATCCCCAGCCCGGACCCGCCAAACAACAATGACGGCTGCAACCAAAAAATAGCCGGG